TTAATACATGTTATGCATGATTCTGAGTAGCATGTGCCATTTAACATAAAATACTGTTCTAGGTGCTTTTATGTCTTAGTTTCATCATGCATATGAAATAGCTGCTGTCTTTAGTTCCACTGTGTAAAGGAGGAAGCTTAAAGAAATTTGTGACTTTTCATAGCTACAGTTAAATAGCTAGCAAAGCATGATAACTCATTAAAACCCAAGCAGTCTAACCTGTTGCTCAGGCCTATGCACCCTGCACCGCCCCCTTTAAACAGCACTAGGTGCTCTTGTTCCCCAGCTGCTGCAAATGCACATTATTAACTCTTCACAGCTATATGTTCTCTCAAGAATTGGCCTGGCTGATGGAAACCACCATCCCACTGAAATTCTCTCAGGTATGCTGAGATGACTAAAGGATGACTGTTGTTAGGGTGCCCCTGTCTTAAGGGGTACAGTGACTCATAAGTAGTGTCCTTCATGCTCTGCAGGTCCCTGTGTGAGCAAGCTGAGGTGGACTACAGTGAAAGCCCCATCTTTGCCTTTCACCTCCCCTTTCTTGCCCTGATCACCCCACTTTCTTATAATTTTCACTGGAGAATCTCAAATAAATCATACATTCTTATCTCAGACTCTGTTTCAATAAAACCCCCCATCAAACAATCCTGCTATATTGGACTTTAGCCTTTATTTGCTTTATGCTCTATTTTGTTTTAGTATTTTCTGTATATTTAGGTTCTTCAATATTTATTGTTCATTCTTCATGTTTTAAATTGCCTGCAAGTACATGACAGTTTCTCTAGCATTTCAGGTAAATAAGCAAAGGGGAGCCCTGGTGCCATCAGTGGCTTTTTCCGGCTTTAATGATCTTTTTACACTAATTGTTTTGGGCAAGCCCAAATGCTGGTGAGGCAGGGAAGTTGGGGGGCCAGGAGGCTCGCAGGCCTCCCAGGAGCTGACAAATCTTTACCCTGTGGACCTTCTTTGCCACTGTCTTATGGTCCTCAACTTATGTCTTCACTTGTCCTCTCATAGGGTCCCACCACAGCTGTTTTCTGATTCACACTGCTTTTGCAGCCTCAGCCTACAGGCTCAGGTGTTCCTGTCATGCACACCCACACCACACTCCAGGTGTCTGCCATCAGGCCTGCATACAAGACCACTGGTGTCGATCATAGATGCTAGTTGTGGGAGGGTGGAAAAAGCCGATGACTTCCATTCACCTTACGTTGAGATAATACCAGAATACCCCTATAAAGGGTTAACACTACAGTGTACCCACTGACACACTCAAATTCTTCCACCATCATAGGCTGCTGACTTCTGAATTTTTCAACACCTGTATTACTCTTTTGAAATCATGAAACGCCTGTTTATCTGATTTTGAACTTCATTTTCTGTCTTCAATTGATTCCTTTTTATTTCTAAGGGTATTCATTCATTTTTTTCTGAGTTTTCTTTCTTCTCTGAAATTTTTATTATTTCAAGTTTCAACACAGTTTCTGATAGAGAGCACATAGCTTCTATGTCTTTGGATTTAGACCCTGGAGACTATCTCTTCATGTGTGATGATATTCTTTTGAGAACTCATGTTGCTATTTTTTTTTTCCTTTTACCCATTATTAGCTTTGGGACTTCCTCTGGAGGTGGCTTCCCTGTCCTCCAGCCTGCTTCCCACCCTGCCCCCCAATATTGTGTTTGTGGTCTCACCTATTGGGATAAGCAGCTAGCTCACAAGAGGTTGCAAGGCCTCTTATTTCTCTGATACTTCCCAAAGAATGTGACCAAAAATCTCACCAATCTTTATGGGCTTTAGTGGATTCTTCTGAAAGTTTGTGAGGCCTCTGGCACATTTCCCATCACTGGCCCGGGAGTCCGGGATTAGACTGGTCTAGGCAGGCACTGGTGGTTTCTCCCTGGAGGTCAAGAAAACTCTAGTGGCTCTGGCACCTGCCCCTGGCAGGATCTAAGTACTCACCAGTCTGGATGGACACTGACATGGTCTCATGGGAAGTTAAAAGTTCTCTGTCAGTTTGGATGGGCACTGATGGGGTCTGTGTATATGGTCATGAAGACTCTGACCATTCTGGTACCTTCTATGGTGCACATATGGTGTCTTCTCCAGTCTGGATAGACACTGGCGGGATCTATTAACCATCTACATCTCACATACATACACAGAACAGTATCCAACAAGAGCAGACTAAGCAATTTTCTCAAGCAAATTAAATAATTTGCAAAATAGTTGAGCTGAAAGAACACAAAACAAGTCCATTGCAACACTATAATAGCCTAGCTATGAATATCACCTGAGTGCCTTAAACACATGTGAAGATGTGGTATGTAACAATGGAATATAACTCAGCTATTAAAAATAGATAAATTATTTACTTTGGTGACAATATGAATGGAACGGAGAAGATTATGCTTAGTGAAATAAGGAGAAAGTAAAAACACTGGATGGTGTCACTTAGATGTGGAATAGTGAGAAAGAGAAAATGGGTCAGATAAAAATCATATCAATAAGAAAGTCTAGAAATATGAATGTAGAATTGAGATTACTAGTGTGGGGTAAAGGGAAGAGAGCACAATGGAGAAAGAACACAATGGACTATGGTGGAGGATTATGGATGTTTTGGTGATAGGTGTGGTAACACACATTTGAAGGGTATGACCCTGTACTTCCAAGTCATATACAGGTAACAAATGTTGCCACACTTTAAAAGAAAAAAAAAAGTAAAATGTTTGGAAAGATTAAAATCCTATAAAATATTGTTAAATATCTTCATCTAGTTTTCCATTTAAATATATTATCAGTCCTGCAAAAAGATTAACAAAGTTTAATAAACACAATATATTTATGCTATAATAACCTATCTTAAATGGCAATCTCTCTGACATACTGAGATTATTGACAAACACTCATTGCCCATCCCTTTGGCCTACACCCCAGTTCTTTTATACATGGATACATTAATAAACCTTAAAAAAGAAGCAAAACTAATCAAAATATAAATTTACATTTAATGTTAAATATGTGGTGATATGGAATGCCACTGGTCCAAAGATTTTTCTTCTTTTTTATATACTTGTTATTGAATTGAAGTAATATCGGTACCCTGTATTGTATATGATGAGGGATACAGGTTCATTTCTCTTCAGATATATTATAGTTACTGGGTATTCACAATGGTTTTTATTTCAATTCTGTGAAATATTTGTAACATCTAGTCTTTAAAAAAATTCAAATTAGGTGTCATTCTACAAAATAGTTATGCTTCTCAAATTGACAAGGATCTTACAAACTTGTCACAGCTAAGTAGAGTTTAAGAAGTCCCAAAGAATAAATGAGATGGACCATCCCCAGTGGCACAACAGGTTAGGACTCAGCACTTCAAGCGAGCCCAGCCACTTCAGTGCAGGTTTGATCCCCACCCCGAAAGTGACCACATGCCACAGCAGACTTCTCCTGACCCGCTGCAGTGTACTTTGTCTGTCTGCCTGCTCTGCTCCCTACTCTGTCTCTGGTGAATCCTCTCACCACTGCTGCACCTCTGGCCTGTACCCCAGTTCTGTATGTCCAAATAAATAATAAATATCTAAAAAAAAAAAAAAGAATAAGTGAGATGTGGCCACTTGAATAAAATCCTGTGTCATTAAAAAGGCAATAGGTTAAAAATAAATGTATCTGAGTAAAATAGTAAAATTTAATTAATAATAATAATATAACAGTATTAGTTCATTAATGAGGTATAATGTTAATAGCAGATTTAATAAAGAGTACATTGTGAATACCCAGTAACTATAATATATCTGAAAAGAAATACAGGGTACCGATATTACTTCAATTCAATAACAAGTATATAAAAAAGAAGAAAAATCTTTGGACCAGTGGCATTCCATATCACCACATATTTAACATTAAATGTAAATTTATATTTTGATTAGTTTTGCTTCTTTTTTAAGATTTATTAATGTATCCATGTATAAAAGAACTGGAGTGTAGGCCAGAGGGATGGGCAATGAGAGGATTCATTAGAGATCGTGGGGAGCAGAAAAGGTAGTTTTTTGTTGTTGTTGTTGTTTTTTTAATAATATAATAGTTTAGTTTTACATCATTTTGTGTCTCTTTCCATCTCAGTTGTAATTCCCATGGGCTTCCCATCACTAAATCACCTGTGTGCCATCACCATAGTCCAGTGCACTTACCCCCTCCACATTTTTAATCCCATTCCCCATTCCTCCGCTGTAAAATGTCTCTGGTATATAGTTGTTCATTATTATTATTTTCTCACCTGTTCGTTATACTCCTACTATGAGTGAAACCATCTGGTATTTTTAGAAAAGGTAGGTTTTACTGAAACAAACTACAAAGGAGAGCAGTGATTGAGACAGAGAGTTCTGTGCCTGTGGTTCCCCCTGGCGGGGGACCCAACCCAGGCCTCAGAGATGATATGTGATAGAGGTGAGACACAACCCCTTGTCACCAGGGAGGTCCCTGGTTTGCTTCTTATGTAAATTACATGCTTTCTAAACATTCTGCTGCAGTTATGGAAAATGACTTAATTAAATCTCTCTATAGGATGTGACATAATCTGCTTGGGTTAATTTTATAAAATACTTATTTTAGTTTAGGCAGGTCTTGAAATTAAGAAGTTCTACAGAATGATCTAGATTATCAATTTGAAAATCACCTTATCATTTCTATTGATTAAAAAATCAAAATAATAAGTAGTGTCTTCACTGGTGTAAACATGTTTTCAGAGAACTGGTTCTTATTTTATATTTGTATAAAACAAAATACTCTAGTTGTAGTTATTGTTGAAATTTCATGGAAATAAACATTGTTTCTGGATACTAAAAAGAAAATTGAATTATAATTTCAGGCTTTGATAAAATATATGCATTTACTTTTTAATATCAGGTTATAATATTCACTAAAAGTGATTCACTTTTACCACTTTGAATGCAGCTGTCAATTGCATTGACTTACATATATTTCTTTTTCCCTCTAGGCTGTACTTTGGAGATATAAATTTTCTCAGCTAAAAGGTTCTTCAGATGATGGCAAAAGCAAAATCAAATTTTTGTTTCAGAATCAAGATACTAAACAGATTGAAGCAAAGGTAAACCAAATAAATCCATCAAATAATCTTCATTAATACTATTAAGGAACAAAGGGAGCAAATTTAGGAGAACTAAAAGATTTGGAAATACCTATTATCTTTCATTATCCCTCTTGAATGAAAGAGCAGAGTCATTACAAAATTTAATGGCAAATTTTCATAAACAGGTATAACAAAATAAATTATGTACAACTGATTGTATTTCTTGATTTTAATTCCTTATGAGTATCATTTTGGCCATACTGAATTAATATTCTGCTAACTAAAACATTTGCTACCTTGTTTATATCATATTTTAAATAATAATGTGAAGTGCTTAAAAGTTCTAACCTTGGCCCCCCTTGGTGGCATAGCGAGTTAATGCACAACATTAGGAAGTGAAAGCCACTTCAGCATGAGTTCGATCCCCTCCCCAGAGGTGATGTACATGGTGTGGCAGACCTCTCCTGACCTACCCTCTGCTCCTCTCAGCAGTGTACTTTGTCAGTCAGCCTGTTCTGCTCCCCACTCTCTCTGGTGAATCCTCTCACCGCCCCCCTGCACCTCTGGCCAGTACCCCAGTTCTGTATGCATAAATAAATAAATCTTTAAAAAAAAACTAACATTATTACTCATCTCCTTTATCAATAAACACACAAATTCCAAAAGAAAATATACTTTTTAAAGTATGTTATTTATTCATTTATTCTTTTATGTATTCTTTCATTCATTTATATTTACATCATTGTTCATTTTTGTAGTGTTGGTTTTCTCCTTTCAGGTGTAGTTCCCATGGATTCCCACCATCAATTCACCTATTCATCATCACCACAGTACCGTGTGTTCTTCCCTCCCATTTTAAGATCCCACTCCCTCCGCCCTACCTCCCGCCTAAAAAATGTCCCTGGTTTATAGTTGCCTGTTAATTTTTGTTGTTATTATTTTTCCTTGATCCCTTATTTGCTGTATATATACAATAGAATGCTATTCAGCAATCAAAAAAAGATAAACTCCTGCCGTTCACAACAACATGGTTCGAGCTAGAAGGGATTATGCTCAGTGAAATAAGTCAATAGGTAAAAGAAAAAATATCAAATGGCTTCACTTATCGAGTGACATAGGGGAACCAAGGAAAACTTACTTTAAATCAGTTCATATTTTCCTCATGTTCTCATGTAGTAACTAAAATGAATAAGCATGAATTGTTTTATCCAATGTACATTTTCAGTATTCTGAATTATATTAACTCTGTTGTTTTTAACTCATCAGAAAGATTCACTGTTGTGTTTTTATCAATGCATATACTTGTAAATATTCAAAATCTGAATTATGTTCATTGCTATGAAATTCACATTTACAATTCATGGGTTAGGATGAATTTTAAATGTACTATTGTAGTGTGGAATAAATGATGAATAATAAATATAAAAGTGATGGAATTGAAAACCAAAATGTAAATTTTTAACCATTAATTAAACTTGCCTTAAAACTATTTAAATTCTTATGCTAGTTACAGCCTTCTAGGCAATGAATCTTTTAGATATTCCCTTGCAAGTCTCCTGTTATAATTAGTAAATTCAGGTCAGATTTTAATTCTCTTATTAATAAAGTAAACCTTATATCAGATTATACATCTTCTCTTTTATGTTTTTGAGAATATCCCATTCCTGACTCACTTATTTCTTTGGACTTAGCCTATTACATTTTCCTATTCTGTGGATCCTTCAAAGTGTGAATTGTAGAGATAGCTCCTTTGTGCTAGCTTAGTTTATCTATCACTCCTAAAACTTAGTATAATCTATGGCCCTTACTTTATGTTTATCTCCATCCACTTTAGACAAATGCCTTATAACTTTATCCATTCTTTATTTAACTTGCCACAATTTTCAAGTCCATATTTTTGTTATTGCCTCCATCCTAAATATGAATCTCCTCACTGAGATGCCTTATTTCCTTCCTTCAGTTCCTTTGGTTTTCCCATCTGTCTACTACAGAATCCTCTGTTTCTTTGTGATTCTTAATGTTACTAAAAAAAAAAGTCACTATTTAACATTATTCATCTTAATTTTTGGTAGATATCTTTATTTTTCAAAGCAGGACATGTCTTAAGACTACTGAATAATCTTTTATATGGTCAAAAAGACTCACTTAACTTTACTAGTTATTAGTTAACAGTCACCTTTAAAGTTCTATTTATTCTTTTTATAGTGCCTTATAGCAATATTTTATAATTGCATTCATTAAAAGATAGCCTCAGAACATAACCATCAAATGTGTTTCTTGAATTTATAACAGAAAGAGAACTATTAAAGATTTGTCTTAACAATTGGTGAGGTTATCAAACTTTTTCAAATGATACCAATATCTGAAATAGGGGCCAATTACTACATGAGTAGCCAAATTCAATACTGAAAATATTTAACAATTTACCCTAACTCGTCAGAATGCTGGCTACAGAATTATTTAACCATAAAGAGTGCATTAACTCTGTTGACATTATAAAAATTGTGTGTGATTGAAAACTAGTACAATCATTATTTGTAACTTTGCTATAATTGTTACTTGTGAAAATAATTAAAAATACCATCACAAGTGGACAGTAAGGAGAAAGCCAGTGTGTATCACATTATTGGTCTTACAGAACTTGGACATCATAAAGGTGGTATTTAGTTGAAGTTGACGTTGTTTGGAAATTCAACATTTTCTCTATTAGAACATTGTTACTTATTATTATTTTAATGAAAAAATAGGCAATTTGATATCATGGAAAGATTGTTAGAACTGGAAAGACAGTTTGGATGAGAGTTAAATTCTTGCCTTACCATATATGACCTGTTTTACCTGGTCAATTATTATCAAATTGTAGCTGCTACCTTTCAGGGAAAGTACAGGGAAAAAATATCCTCAGTTCCTTACACACAAAAGATAGTCATTAACCTGCCCTTATGACCTAGGAAATATTCCCTAACTAGTTACTATGATTAGGAAATAAGTAGTAAATATGACTAACATATGTAAACACTGTTTTCCTAACCTTTAAGAAATTCAAGTTTATAATCATAACCCAACATGTAGAACTTATCAAATGCCTGGGGAATTTTTATATCTTGTTTATATTAATTCCTAAATTTTAATATGGTAAGTTTTCCCCCAAGTCACTCAAGTCACTTGAGTCACTGTTTCAAGTCAGAGACAGGGATTCTGTACTTAAATA